AAATAAAAATAAATATTTTTGTATATTTTGTAAATTTGCACAGCCTATATCTCTGGAACTAACGGACGAATTCGATAGAAAATATTTAATTTTGTTGAATTTCTAATAGGCCTGGACAACATATAGAATATACCTACTCGTAATATGTTTTGGAAAAGAACAAAAAAGGATATTGTCTGATGACAATATTCTCCGCGAACGACGCTGCGGCTAGAAGCAAGTCTTGTACATCACGCACACAGACCCTTTAGTTTCAGCTATTCAATATTCATCAGATGTAATTACAAACATGAAATAGTTACCGGCCATAGTTCACGATCTTAACTTTGTTGGGCTCGAATTCCGTAGATAGGTATTAATCAGAAGTTTGTAAACAAGTACCTGAAGATTATATTGTGCCTGTTTAAACATCGAGTTGGTTATCACATTAATTGGTTGCGAATACTTCAGCTGAAAGATCTCATATTAATATAACTTACTTATTATGAGATCAGATGAGATCAGATACATAGATAAATTATTGTATACTTAGTCTTGTCTCTATTTCTGGTTCGCTGTCATAATATCTCTATTTCTGGTCGGATGTCATAACGCCTCCAGGGCCCAGGGGATAAAAAGCGTTATGCCATATCATGCAATAAATCATAGACATTACATGACGTCATGCTTTTAATTCCCGAAGGAGTTTAGGGAGGTAAACAATATCTATAGAAGTAGGTACAATTTAACAACTTTAATAAGTTATGTACTACAAAGTGGCGGTTGGGCTTGTTGCTATACACCAAGCACAATGAAAAAGTCCGAAATTAAGAGAAATTGACCTAAAGTCCGAAATAAAGCTTTGCCCAACCTGTGAATCAAACCCAAAACCTCTCAATAATGATCACACTAGCGACAACTCTACCATTGTGGCAGTCTAAAAATAATTATTGTTATTATATTTTGTCTAGCAATAAGTACACTAATACATCGCAAATTATGATTGGCCAGAAATATTCGCTAATTTAATGAATGGAACGCAAAATGTAAACATAATCTGATGACCCAGTATTACATACGTAAAGCTCTTGTCGTCGAGCAATACAAAAGTACTTCCTTCATTGACTAAATAAACGTCAAAGTAAACACAAATAGAATTTTTGTCGCCATTCCAATCCTCGTACCTTTACGATAGTTGTTTAACATCAAACAATTTACATTTAAAGTGAATGACCTCAACAGGATCAGTTAAAAACTTTTTTTCTCACTTCACATAATACAACAGCGTCATAGTTTTGTATGCCAAATTGAATCGTCCAATTTTGGTATGCAAATCTCGAGGTGCCCTGGTAAATTGCGAACATACATAGCACCTGTTTTATCAGCTGTTTAGCTCATAAACCGCCGGAATATTTTGAAGGAAAGCGCCGAGGCCCTTCACAATGAAATATATTTGAATACATTACTCTTTTCCATTGCAACTGAATAATACTCAGTTTTAAGCCGCCGTTCGATCGTGATCCAATCAAATAAAGATTATTCCACATCGTCGACATATACGCTAACAAAAACATTTCGATGTTTTTCATATAAATGTATTATAATTATAGGTAATGTAATTTGTTAACATTGCCGAATTAATCCGATGCGAATACTGTTTGAATGAACCAGTTTTACGTTGTCATTTGTTTGAACTATATCATTCAAGGAATTTGTATATGAATAAGGATACAAATGTCACATTTTCCTCATTAAAAAATTGCAGGTTCTTGATATTTAAACAAAATGCTTTTTGCCGCTATCGAAAGCGACAAATCTGACCTGTCTTGACCTGTTCTGGCTTTTTCTGAATTAATGTATGGCTGCCCTTCATTTGCTTGTACGCGTTTATGACTTAAGTATTTTCCAAATTTGCGATAAAATTGCGTTTAGACATTACATAGGTTACATCTGCCATTAATGCTCTTAAATACAAAATTGTTTCTAAATAATAGATAAAGTAAAAGGTTATTCAAAATTATTTCCTACAGAACCCCTTAAAACGATACAAAACAAAGGATTATGTTGACAAAAACAAGATACAAGCCTCCCCTCTAATGCCCCATAACTGTTGTCATATATATAAGGAATAATATATATAAGACTACAGAATACATATATGCGTATTTGGCCTACTGGAAAATATTTTGTGGTTGCAACATTTTCGTGTAGATGCAAGACGGATGGAAGAAAAACATTCAAAGTATGCGTTTCGGATACTATTCATGAAAATCTATGAAGGGATTTGGGCAGGCTCAGGTTGAAAAGATAGTTTGGCTTCGTTTTGGAGATACATCGTGGAAAGCATTACTTAACGTTTATTTTAGTGACATAACGTATTGATAGTTCAATAAATCAAACTCAACTTTATGACTTTTGAATTAAAGTAATAAATTGCTTATAACGGTATAGTACCAAAGCCACTACCTTGGGCGTCCGCGGGCCTATAACCTCAATGAAAACGAATATGTGAAAAAAACCTATTAGGTAAATTGGTGATGATGATCAGGTACATTTAAACTTAAATTATCCTTTATTTTAACTGCTATGTTATGTGTGAAACCGCATGCTTCTTAATGCCTGAAAGTGCACACATTCGTAGACGTCTTTCTATAACAGAGATTTTTTCTAAAATCCAAAAATCCCCAATAACGCTTGACTAGATTCGGAAATCCCGAAATTTTCAGGATTTTATTTCCCATTTCTTGCTCAACAGTCGCACATATGCTACCATGTTACCTGGCAATATGGGTCTGAGTGTAAAAAGTTGAAAGGGCTTTGACCACAAGTTCAAACCATAAAATCGTAGATCCAGTTTTCACCATTTCTTCCAAATGAGCTCATCAGTAATCATGTGTTCGCCCACATGATACCGATATTATATAATCATAACAGCATAATAATATTATGTATCTGCCTAATGTATTTTTAGTCGCAACCGGCAACTGGCTGCTTCTAATGTCAACGACATTCGATAGAACATCTCGAAGTGACCTTTGACCTTGGTATGTAGGTACCTAATTTCATCATGACTAGCTTCTGCCAGTGGCTTCACTTAGTTCACTCGCATTCCCGTAGGATGAAAAGTGTAGACCACGTCCAGACCATAATCTACCTCTGTTCCAAATTTCATCCCGACCCCTTCAGCCGTTTAGACGTAATTGAGTAACAAACATACACACAAACTCACTAACATTCTCATTCATAATATTAAGGAAGAAAATATCCACATTCATTTGAAAATTACAGAGTAATACATAGGTATAATTGTACATTTTAAACAGAATTTTACTTGGGAAATATTTGCCATATTACTTGTTTAAACTGTCAAACACCAAGCGGTCACCGGTGACCGCAACCTATTGTTCTATAATTGTGTCTACAAAACCGGTACTCGACGAGTTAAGAATATTTGGAATATTTTTTCTTGTTACTACGGTAAATTCTATATTTAGATACATCAAAACATAATTAAAACCGCAAGCCTTATTCATAGGGTTGTCAAAGAAGACACTGAAATCTGAAACTTAAAAATAAGCAAAAGGTAAAAACTAAAAAGCAAAAAGTATCTGATTATTATTAGTCACACATACTCATAGGTTACCCACCCACTGAAAGGTTAGAATTCGGTGCCACAAGCCCATAACAAAATATAACTTAAGTAGGGGAGTTCCCTCGACTATCTCTTGACTCCATCATCAGATCAACTCGACGCCTTCATCAATTTGTAGTCGTTTTCAATACTGTATAATATATATAACAAAAGTATAAATTAACAAACGCTCTCGCCGCCCAAATAATTTTGAAAAGTTCCCCTCGGTTTCCATGGGATCTCATCATCAGATCCTGACCTGGGGGAAATGGGACCACCCCGAGGGTATGACACTTCCAACAAAAAAAAATCAAAATCCGTCCATAAACGCCGGGAAAGTTGGGAAAAATACACCCAAAAAAAGACATTCAGCCGAATTGATAACCTCCTCCTTTTTGGGAAATCGGTTAATAACTGGACTGTACTTCATTTTTTCCGCGACAAATGATTGCGTTTTGTTGTTGAAAATATTTAAGTACAACAAAATGTTGTTCAAGTGTCTTCTAAAAATACTAATAAGTACCTAAGTAAATTTTACTATATCATGGGTTTTTTTATCTTAAAGTTCAAGAATATTCCAGACATAGATAATATCTTTCTATAGGTACCGTGTTATCCTAAAATATTAGGTTTTAATAATAGTTTGCTATTATTATTAAATATGTTGTGTCTATGACACTACGAAAACGAAATATTATAGCGCCGCACTGTCTGCCCATAGCAACACGCTGCATTTACGTTTCTCATGTTCTCTAACGCGACCACATAAAATTAACTTCTATTTTAGATTAAAAACTTTTTTATTTAAACCCACTAAAAACACAAAATAAATGCTGGCAATTGTTCATTAAAATATAGCGATGCCATAGTGTTATTTTTATTATGTTCTTTTTTGTTAAAATATGGCTTTCTAGTATTTTTTTCGTTTATATCAACCGGTATTAATTTATTCGTTTTATTTATAAGTAGAACTAGCTTCTGCCCGCGACTTCGTACGCGCAACCCCGATATTTCCCGGTCCCGTTCTTAATTTTCGGTAAAAAGTAAAAAAAAAGTATTGGTTACAAAGTATCCTATGTCCGTCTCCTGGTTCTAATCTACCTCCCTACCAATTTTCAGCCAAATCTATTCTGCCGTTCTTGAGTTATAAGTGGTGTAACTAACACGACTTTCTTTTATATATATAGATAATAATAATCAAGTATTGATATGTTACAAAATAATTCCATAAATAAAAAATTACTGGTCACTTTTGATCAAAAAAATAGAGAAAAGCCATTAGGTTTTTTATATAATTTTCTTTTATATGAAAATATGGCGCTAACTCATATTTTTTCGCTAAAATCAGCCAGTATTTTATTAAAGCCTTTTAGAAACATTCGAAAAAGGTTTTATCAAAATAAACTATAGTGAAAGGTTTAGGTCAATCACCTCATATTGATTTTGATTCATATATTATAGTATTATTATTAATTAGGCGTCACTAACCGTATGTTGTCATTCTGATCAATTATACCTACCTGATCAACTAATCACTATGGAAAATTTAACTTGTAGATAGGTAACGGTTCTCTAGAATAAGGATCTTTGTAATGTTGGGAATTTCTGAAGATACCTATTAATCCGTACAAACTGGTTTTATAGTGACAATATCATGTTGATAAATGAGATGCCTATGAGCATTTTCAAATCCGTAAAGTTAATGGACACCTGTTGTTGACGCATGTCGTAAAAATTATAATGTTAACTATACTTTTAAATTCATTTATTGATTGACAACATGTATATATCTATGTATTTATGGTTATAGTTAAAAGTAGCAAAACTCAGGGTAAATGAAACGCTGAAATATGTTATTAAAATAAATCATTTAATCTTTAACAAACGGTCATAGTGTCAATGTTTGCAGTACTTAATGCTATAAATATTATAACACAAATCGACAGCTTTCTCGCATTGACAATGTTTAGCTTTAGTATATAATAGTAAAATATAATACTTTATATATTTGACTTGCTTTTAAAATATAAAACGGATTATTTTTATTCCGAATGAATGACAAGGTTACCATATAAAGCCTCTTTTTAGCCATTATATACTACAGCCAATAAGGAGGTTCAAAATGAACTTCGGAACTCCTTAATACAAGACCACGAAGTTCCAGAGTTTACAATATTCTCTATTCAAATTATTTGACATGTTGGTGTGTTCAGCATTCAGGAAGTTTATAGCTACATACAATATGTGGGAGACATAGTATAATATGTACATCATTAAACTATCTACTATGGCATTCCTTCAGACGTTGACTTATTATATCTGTGCTTATATTAAATCTTAGGTATAAGTAACAGGTCATTTACATATAATGCAAGTCTACGTGACGTCGATGACATAACACATATATTGGACGTAATTTCTTGCGTGTGCGCTTCTGTTTGCTAATTCAATATTATGTCATTCAGGGCTTTAGGCGTTAGTTAATACATATATTATGAATGGGCCTCTCACTTAACATTTTTTCGTATTTTATGATCCTATTACAAAATTGCGTTTTAATACAAAGGCATGATTTTGTTATTCCTAAATCTGATTCTTTATGCGGCACTGATTACGCACATAATTAACATGTCTGGTTGAATTTGCGTTTCGCCTCCAGGGACATTGAGTCGTTTGCATACGGACTAGAATTTCATCAAAGCTATTAAGCCATTATTTAATGCACATCCAATCTGATGTTTCTCATATAAATGTATGCATATAAAATGAATATATTATCGACCGGTGGTAGTGCGTTTACAGTCTAAAATAGCTCGTTTGATAATGTAGTAAAGATTCAATATTCAATGACGTCACGACTGTATGGAATATATACAATACGAATGATCTAAATACCCATCACATGGAAGCCTCTGTGAAGTCCTAACAATTAATACTATTTTACACAATTTCTAGGTTTCTCTTAGAACGTAGACACACTTGATGCGTTATAAGAAATTCCCCAGTGCAGTCAATCACCAACTGAAAATTTAAACAACAATTAGTACACTACAGTCACACAAATTATGTTAGTTATAATAGTCGAAAAATCCAGAAATAATATAAGGAAAAGTTATAGAAGAATTTTAATTTAAGAAGCCTACAATCGTATGCTGGTAAAACACACACATTACCTAGGTTTAAAAGAATACGATGTTTCACATTAACGGACATATAATTTTTCGAATTGTTCAAGTTTCTCACTTTATGGGCTCTTTATGTTAATGTTATATGGGCATGTTAAACAGTAACAGTCGCAAACGACCTCTTCTGATGATATCACCAATTGGAGATGTCATTCAGAGGTCAAAAAGTAAAATAATTCACATTTCTGTAGGTGCTAACAGAGGTCGCAAAGTCATCATGACTTTAAAACGCTCTATTGTAGAGGTAGATTATTTTTTATGAATCTATTAATAAGATACATATTTATTTATAGACGAAAAATAATGTAACAAAACATAACAATTCGACTTAATTATACAACTGATTCCAATAAATATATCTAATAGTACTAAAGTGAATCGTTTTATGAATAAACAGTGCAAAAAGCATATTTACAAATACGAAAAGCAAAGAAAAAAATTGTGAATAGAAATAAAAATAATTAAATAATGTCGTGACGATGTGCTAAGAATATATGTTACGTATATGGGTGAACGATTTCTTTATTTCAAATCTTTTATCACCGGATCCGCATTCCATTCATGTCTATGGTACTATCCTTTCGACCAATGGTAGAACATGAAATACCCGTACTATTTAACTATTCATATATCACATACCATGGTGAAATATGAAGATAGAATACCGGTTTGTACTATTTACTTTGTTAATAAAACTATATTAATTAGGAGACGTGACTACCATTTCATATCTAATTAAAATATCTTCGACCGCTCGTTAGTGTTGTGGTCGCAAAATGTGGTGCCGATTGTATTGAAATATTTGGAATTGAAATTCAATGTTACGGCTTGAGGTGGGTTTGTAGTAAAAGAGTAAAAATGTCTCATATTATAACAATTTGAATTACTACGTCATGTATAAAATTGTATGACATTTAAGTATAAAATTTATATGAGGTGTTCTATTCTTTAGTTTGGAAAAACCACAAAGAAGTTGACATAATGATACATTATTAATCTGAAATGTTAATATGTAGGTATATAATATAATCGTCGTAACGAAATTCAGATCAAAATTCTATCTAGACTTTGGACTGGTCATGCCATGTTCTATTTTGTATTATGAATAAAATGTGTCACGATAGAGATGCATTAGTTGATGCGGTTGCTGAGTGTGTCTAGAGATGTAAACCTTTGGTACAGATATAACAGCTGAAACTAATGAATGGTGAATGAGACGGGGGGGTACTACCATCACTATATACATACATCTGCTAATTTATCATATTACAAACAAGCGCTTATGGCTTCGTCAAAAAGACAAGGCGATTGATGAAGGCAAGTTAAGAAAGCTTCCTAAGTACGTAATTGAACCTTCAATTACACGAAGATAATCATCATTGCATCAATGCCAATTAAATGAACCATTCAATTCATCATTGAATGGTATCTTGTTGCCCAACTATTTCACAAGTAATAGGCAAACAAATACTTGGAATGTGTTAAAGCAGCGTGACATTACACTTTAACGTTCTTGCTCAAGTTCACTACCTGGCTAAGGAGCAAAGGTTGTATTTAAACATTGTTATATGACACATTATATGACACAACGGTGCACAAAAGTTACCTGCGCAAACTTGAATCGTTCTTTTTCTTAAGAAAATAAATATTTGTCGTTTAACTATCCCCGTTGAGATCCGTGTTCCTACAGTTATGGAGTATCTACAAACCGTATCTAGAATTTCTATGTACCTATGTATGTATTTGCATAATTGTATATGTATAGTGTTGTAAGCCTCAATCTTAAATACTAGTGTCCCTCCGAAGGTCCATTTTTCCAACGCCAGATAAATTTTAACTGAGGCATAACTTTTAAATATTTGACAATCATAACATAACATAACATCACGCCTTTTATCCCCGAAGGGGTAGGCAGAGGTGCACACAGAAGTAACACCCACTTTTCACTATTTATGTTATGAGTCCTATATAATAGGGGGTAAGCTTATTGTTATATACCGGGCACAATTCCAGACTCCGTGCTGAGATTTTTGTTAATCCCAGTTATACTTTGCCCGACCCGGGAATCGAACCCGAGACCTCTTGCCCGGCAGTCACACTTGCGACCACTCGGCCAACGAGGCAGTCAGCAGATTTGACAGTCCATCTTGCCTTATCTATCCATCCAATAATGCCTTATTCCACAGTTAAGAATTAACTGATGATTGAAAAATCGGCCCTGAATATAGTAAATTAGCATTCGACGCAATCAGTAACAATTGTGTTTTTTGTGAAATGCATATTTAAAACGAAGTGCGAAAGACTTGTAGTTTTATAATTGCAAAAAGGTTTTGTATCAAGATGCAAAATCTATGGTGCATTAAGCAGATACTCTACATCTATTTGGTGCAACTTGCTAACTTCTACAGGTGCAAATATAATATAAAATTCTTTGGTACTAACATGAAACTTCTCAGCTACTCAACATTACAGACTATGAGCTATCAGAAGTCGCTGCAACTCAGTACCTGATAATCAGTGCTGGTTCCCTGCACAATATGAATTAACAAAATAATAAACAACTGTATAATATTACCACTTAAAGTTCACATTACGTTGTAACTATTCAAATTGCATTATCCATATTGTTCAAAATGATCACCGAGGGCTACTTTACAATGCTCTATGTAGTCCTTGCATCTTCGATTTAGCTGATATTCCAAAATGGAGGAGATTTTCAATTGAGTAATTTTTTTTTAATCTTTCTCTATGAACACAATTACAAAATAAGTTAGTGCGTAATAACAGCTTACAAGCTTCATAAGCCTAACATCTCATCAAATATGTTGCATACTTCAATAGTTGTCATTCTTGACATACTTTATTGGAGGATTGTTTGCCATAAGTATATTGGCAAATTGATTTTGGAGGCAAAATTCGCATAAATAATTCTAATACATAACTTCACGCCTTTTATCCCCGAAGGGGTAGGCAGAGGTGGACATACGGTCTTATTGACATTATTTGTGTTATGAGTCCCAAGTAATAGGGGGTGAGCCTATTGCCATATACCGGGCACATTTCCAGACTCCGTGCTACTGCTGAGATTTTTTTAAACCCAATAATACTTGCCCTACCCGGGAATCGAAACCGAGACCCCTTGCCCGGCAGTCGCACTTGCAACCACTCGGCCAATGAGGCAATCGTAAATCATTATTTCAGTATATAATTCTATTTCGATCTAATAATGAGTTGACATGTTTAAATAAATATTAAACAAATGAAATTACTTTAATTAATTGTTCAACAAAACAGTTGCAATTCCAACTAAAAGTTCAATCTCTATGAAAAACTCGAATCGATAGTACACAATTCGATAAATGGAACAGTTTTCGATTGCCACCTGATACTTAAAAGAGTATCTGACTCGTTCACTTACGCTGAATGATTTTGAATCGCTAGTCGCGTCACTATCTGAACTGAGTTCTGACCACAATGCACGATTCAGAAATCGTAGTTACAAATGCCTTTTGCTATGCAAAGTCATTGGAAAATACCCTCATGGTATGAATTAAACGAACTCAGTAAATAGGGTAGATGCCTAACTTTTATTTCAATGTTCGTCTGGTACATTATTTTAAATCATTAGCCACGTATTTTTTATTTTCTTACAGAAACGAATACTTTCGACGATATTTTGATTTGAAATGTCGCGTGACGTCACCTCTATGTACATTTTATACGTAGAAATGACGTTTTAGCCCCCACTTTGAACTTTAATTCGTTTTATCTAAGTATTGTTTTATTATACGACAAAATAAAAAAATACGTGTCTAATATTTTTTCATTTCCTAACTTACGGACTAATTCAATTTTTAATTTTCATACCCTGTCATCATCTCAATTCTTTGCGATTCCATGTGGAAATATATTATAACGTCTGCTATTTTATATTTTGCTATAAATGCTTTGAAATCTCGTGTGGAAATGTAAATCATCTGATATATATCGTTTGCTGCTATTAAATAACACATAACTCATACTTTTAAGGGTTTTTTTTCTATTTTAATTGACAATTGCAATGCGTTACGGTATTATACGCCGTATTTCAATAATCATATGGTGGAGATTTATTAACTACTTATCTTCTATACAGAGCTAATTCTTAACCTAACTCGCAGTAAAAATATATAATTATTTTAGTATAACAGTTTAGGTACTACACACGGCCACACACCAATCTATACAAAGCCAGTTTATCCTGGTGTCGCGTCGCATCATCTTTCCGCACATTTAACGTTCAGTTTATACTGGTTATGTAAAGCTCGATGTGTAGTGTACCAGGAATATCTAGGTTCAAAATGTATATGAAAATTTAGAATAGTATCTACACACAGTCCACATGTGCAGATTTGAATATAGCAGATTTTCTTCTCTAAAATTTAAAATTCCAGGACCTGATGCTTTTGCTTGATATCGCCGGAGGAAAGCAAAATGTATAAAATGGTTTCCAATATATTTTTATACTTTTACAAAATCAAGCATCGATCACTGGGAACATTTCTCCTGACGAGAATTGGGGATCTTTATTCAAACAAAATTTTACAGAACCAATCCTATTGCTTTCTTACGTATAACATTAAATTTTGTTTACGATTACAAATGATGACGAACCGTGATCAGGCATAACACACCTATAGAATGATTCATGACGTCATCATGGAGCACCTCACAATATTTTTTAAATCTATAATCCCACCATTGTATAGTACTAAAATAGAGCTTTATGTTATTTCATGTCCATAAAACGTTCAAACTCTCAAACAAAAATAAATAGTAACATTTTTATATTTTACAGAAATGCTGTCATGAAATGAATGAGATGCTTCGAATGCCTTAGCATAGCTTGGAGTAAATATTTATATTTCTGTGGTTTTACTTTGAATACATTTTAAAGGGAATGCTGCTACACTGCTAGACCATTTCTTTTGAATAAATAGTACTTAAGTTAATACCTACATACTTATTTTATTTACGAATTTGTATTTAACCACAGACTTAATGATATATTCCCAATCATCAGTATATTTTCTATTAAAATCAAACCCGTCTACGCTTTAGGTACTGTTTTTGATTTATAATAATATCATTATGTATAATTAATTTCATGTTATGTAGATAATTATAATATATATTCATATTTAAATCCTATAATTATTTATTTTTACTAATTAATGGTTTTGATTAGAATATATTTACCCGTGATGGCTAGAGTAGGAGTATGATGTTGAGGGTTTGGAGCCGGCCTTCGCTTTCAGAGCGAGAGCGCCTACTACTCCAGCACCAACGCCGACCTTCGCTGCTTTCAAGCCCAGAGCACCTGGTGAAGAGATAAATTAATTAGTTAAATATAATCTCCTTTTACTGCCTCAATTTTCGCGTATAAAAACTATAAGAAGTTACCGTAAATCTAACATTAAGATTTTCTTCTTTTATTTTTTAATTGGACCCTGATAAGCAGAAAAGATACAGTCCACATTTTAATACTTTTGAGTAAATGAAATTTAATAAAAAAAATGTAATAAATAAACTAAAAAATATAGGTAGGTACTAAACTGACACAGTACTGTGTCATATGATTTTTTTAATATCTGCCAAACTTTAAACTTAATTTCCTCAAAAGTAATAAAATGTGGGCTGGATCTTTTCTGCTTAACAGGGTCCAATATTGTATCTGTATGCGTACCTAATGTCGAATAAGTGCTTTTTCTTTCTTATTCTTTCTTTCTTTCATTTTGATCTTATCAATTTAGCAACACTATGGACACGTTATTAATCACACATCATTTTCATGTACCTAGTAAAACTTTACCCTAAATCCGTGGACAGACTACTTGTTGCTTTAGATTGTAAAATCATTGAGTGAGTACTAACATAGGGACCAGTACTTAAAATATAATGTTAAATCTAAACAATTACTAGGACCAATATATTTGGGATAAGTTAGTGAGATCAACAACTAGCTCTAAAAGAGGCGTAAAATGTGAATTAGCATCGTGTGCGTACATGTAAACATGTTTTGGTACGCAAATCATTATCCCGGTCGTTAGGCGGCGCTAATCCGCTGATGGATGTAGCAGCACTCTAAGGCAGGATACGCCTGATAGCCGTGCTCTAACATCCGATGTTGAAATATTCGACCAAATTTCACGAGGAGGCTGTACGTGCATTCATTTTGTTTGTAGTTTAATGGTTAAAGTTATGTGAATAGTGATGAAGCCAAGCCAAGGTATCAAAATTAAAAAAAATCTAATTAGTCCGTCAGTTAGATAATGAAAAAATATTAGACACGTATTTTTTTATTTTCTCGTATTAAGTTGCAATACTTAGATAAAATGGCGCTAAGTTTAGGAGGGGGAGGTCGTCACGTCATAACGTGCTACAAAATGTGGCTCGTTGTGACGTCACGAAAATATTTAATTTCGTGAGAAAAGAAAAATACGTGTGTAAAGTTTTAAATTAATGTACCAGACGGGAAATAAAATAAAATTTAGGAAACTACCCTATTTACAATAACGATACCAGTAGTCTGCTTGTAAAGTAACATTACATATTGCTTGAAGAGGAAAGATTAAATGTCATAATGTAACTTACAGAACCATAATACCGATTTGAAAAAATATTATTTTTCCATTGTAAAGTTCACTTCTCAGGGAGTCACTTAACCTACTTTTTATTACATCATTCTAACAGGATCGGAAACTACTCGAGAAAAATATTTAATATCCACATTTTCTCTCTGGGTTGCTATGATGAAGACTTTTTTGTATCTCTATGCACTATATAAGAACAAGCTAGATATTATGCGCGCTACTATAATGAACAAACAGAGCGAAATTTCTTTCCAGCAAAAAACCAACTGCATATCATTAGGATGTAATGCAGTTCGGACCAGCTTTGAATATAAACTGCCTGTTTAATTATCTAGTAACAAGGTTTTGTTTTAAGCAAGCTCTACGTTGTTCTATTTTTAAAATTTAAAAAAGATTTTATTGTACAATGAAGTTAAGTTCCCTTCGTTGGTTGAGAAGCTATAAGTTCAAAAGGGTAGTTTCCTAAATTTGATTTTAATGTAATTTAAAACTTTAGATACGTATTTTTCTTTCCTCACAAAATTAAATACTATCGACTATATTTAATTTGAAATATCGTGTGTAGCACGTTATGACGCAACAACCTCCCACTCCTAAACTTAGCGCCATTTTATCTAAGTATTGCAACTTAATACGAGAAACTCAAAAAATGTCGAATATTTTTTCATTATCTAACTAACGGACTAATTAGATTTTTAATGTTGATACCCTAGCAACTGCCCTATAGCCGAACAATGGAGCGCACGTTGGATTTCCAGGTCGCGTTATTTTTTTTTCAGTTTTTAATCTTCTCAATACCTACTAAAGTAGCACTAAGCTCAGAGTAATTCAGTGTAGGGTATCATAAACGACACACATAACATATAATTTGTGCTTTAAAAAAAATCCACTTTACGTAAAATAAAGTTTCGTAGCACTTTGCTACGGTTTTTATTTCGTAGCAAATGACTAAGCTACAAACACAAATTGTGTCTAGTCATTGAAATATTTCTAAGAGAACAGCTATGACTCATAGCCCGTCTAATAGCCTAGAGATTCAATAATATCGTGTGTCTATATACTTAAGCTTTTACATAAGAATTGAGTAATGTGGCTAAAGAGTATAGATAGGATTATTGGAACGAGTCTAGTGTACAAATCCCGACGTTTAGCAAATATTTAAAGTATGTCTTCATAAACACAAATATTTAATACTGGGGCAATTTAAGCTGCAACTCCTTGAATACAAGGTCTATAATGCAATGTACATAATATATAGGACACGCTTAGAATTTTCCAATACTATGATATTCTATAGGAAAATGTTCTAGAAGTTTAAATCGATGTTTAGTATATATTCCACTCAATTACAGTTCGTACAATTATGTCTCGTCCTCTTAATTATGAGTAAACTTATTTGATATTCAACAGAAAAAGTAAGCCTTCGAATTTGGGTTAAAAAGGCTTTTTCGTTTGTATGTTGACATTCTATACAAACAGTGAGTATTTACCTTCGTATATAATTCAAATAGCTTGCCATCAAGGCTTGGATGTAAGTACATAACTACATGCCTATTTATTTGATACATCAAGGATGAATTTATCAACCATGTAAACATGTACGATGGGGGAAACACAGATGTATTTTTCTTCGATGTCACAATGTATACATTATTGTATTGTATCTATACAAGACCTTGTAAGAATTAAACTGCAAAATTATTCATAAACAACATTGTGAGAATTACTATACTTTAAAGTGTTAAAAATGCAAAAAATGGTTATATTATATGCACAAAACTTATTAATTAAAAACGCCTCTATAGAGATACTTTTGGCTGCTATTTCCTATTATAGCATAAACCAGTCATTATCATCTATTACATTCCCAATCAATTTCATGCAGCGTTACTCAGAAACGTTAATGGCAAACAATGGATTCCCACATGAATTTACCTCAATAATTTGTATTCTAAACCCTTAATGAACAGAGGATGAATGTCAAATTGTTTACAAAATAATTGCGAACTGCACAACAATAATAAGGAGATATTTTTGGGAAAAATGGCACATAATGGCAATATATGTATGTCATTTAATGCTGACCAGACAAGAAACAGTACATATCTCGACACAGTTTAGAAGGCCGTGACCCCATTAGCTTACCATCTTCACAGCTACCTTGATGGTATGTTAAAATTAAATGTTTACATGCCGGAGGTGGTAATAGGTTTAATATTTGATTTTTAGCAATAGGTACTCGTAGCAATTAATTTTATATTTGTGTTCAACGTTTACCTTGTGTAAAATTGGAATTTACGTTCGTAAGGCGTTATTGAGAAACTGATATTATAATCGAGCTATCATATTTAGGAAAAGTAATGGACAATATAAGAGCAAATGGAGAGACTCCCTTAGGGATGTAACCCAAATATTACATGTAGCGTAACTTGGCTAATCTGCCATGAAAATTTACATTTATCTTCACGAAAAAGGAAAGGTTTTTGGTGTTAAAACAGCTACGCAGGGCTATTAATAAATATTTCAAGTCATCATTAGACAAGGCTATGGTATTTCAAATGAGATGATGAAATGATGACACAAATTAAGTATCTCTTGTACCGATGTTTGTCCAATGTCACCAAAAGGTGATTCACGTTCGTGTTCACATGTTACTTAATCGACAACGTTCGACAAATGAGAAAACTAAACTTTCCATATACCGACATATTAACATTGACATGCCCTTGTCACTATGTATATGGATGGTCATCAAACTTTGCTAATTCATTTTCCTCGTGAAACACATCTGGGTTGAACATTGACACTAATCAATTATCAGTTTGTCGTGTTTTTGTTTAATATCTTTAACCTGTACCTTGCTAATTGTCCTTGGTGTAGGTTCTAATGAACACACCTAATGTCAGTATTATGCTGACATAACGAAGGTCTGCAAAATCCTGTTCTATGTTACAGCAAGTCAATGTCAGATTGATTTTGAATGTCATAGAAGTTAGCAAGATGGAGTTACATAAAGATTAACAAGTTTTTTTAGTATCTACCATACCTCTACATAACTTTCCCATTGCTTGTATTAGCATTTAAACATTAACTGCTAGTGCTGAGTACAATTTCCTTCTTGACTACTGAATTGGAACAAAGTGCATTTGTACTCATGTTTATCACAGTTAAAAATCAAAAATCTATTAAAAAGATTTGGAAAATTACTATTCGATACCTTCCACCTTTATGCCTGTACTTTTTCGTTTCTGTGGCACAAACGGTAATAATAGAAAATATTCGTATATTCGTATATACGTACCGAGTAACAGCTTCTTCTTGAGTAGAAGCAGACCTCTCTTGTTCCTAGGGCTCCTGTCGTGCTCCGGAGTTTCGAACAGAGCTTCTTGTGCCGGGTCCACCTGTCGTGCCTCTTGGTGCGCCTGCGCGACTACTACGGCAACCAAGCACGCGAGGACTACGATCGTTGAGGTCTGCATAATTGAAGTTTCTGGAGACATACAAATAATAATCGTAAGTTAAAATAATTAAGTATTGCTAAATTCCTAGTAATAAAGTTCTTAGTGAAGTGTTTGAAATTCTATTTCTAAATCCACTCACACACTAATCCATTCCACCATTTGTCTTTTGTGCACATAGGTTACAAAGCAATCATAATAATTATAATGTTGGTCTGGATTCCAAAACAACTTTCAAGCAGGAACAAAAATGTTAAACAAGTAATTTGTTTGTCTTAATTTCAACCGACAAATGTCACTCAAAGGATCGCAGCCGATGCCAGCGTAGGCTAGGTAGTAAAGGTAAAAAAATATTAAACCTTGAAAACTGTCCTTCGTCAAATCAATCAGTCAATATGTTACTGAATAAATCATTAACGATTTCGGTAATTTGAGTGCAGAGATAGAGAATAGCAAAATATTTCCTAAAGAAATAAAACTACAAGAGAGAAAAAGAAGATATTTAACCTGTTGAGAGAAGTAACGGCTAAAACTATTTATGCATACAATATATAAAGGAAACTACATAGTAATATTATGCCAATTCCTGATAACTACACTACTTTTTTCGTTTTTATAGGACAACATTCTTGCATTTAAATCAGTCACAAAAAATTACGAGATCATCTTTTGCACAAAAACTACATACTCCGGTAGTACTTCTTAAACGTTTTGTTAAATACCATCACCTTATATTGAAAGTGGTGCCATCTGAATATGCATTTCTACATCGACACCGTAATATTTAATGTGGCATTTATTCATCATGATTTTAATTTCCATTGATGTCTTTCGGTAAATTCTGTATTTGTGTTTTATTTTTCATTGTGACGCTAATCATTTTACATTGTATTAATTCATTAATGGAAATATCGCGAAACAATACCTAACGGAAATATTGAATTCGAACTACAAATAAGAATCATTACGATAATATTATTGCCTGATTCACCGTACATAACATCTTGATAGTATAATTCTTTCGTCAAAAGAACTAATAAAAATGCTTTCTAGTCTAAGCTAATAAATCGATGAGCCGACCAGCTTGGAAATTCACTGCTTTTAGTAACCCATTACCATCGCGTACGTCGTTAAAAGGCGTAAGTTGGACCTTTAATGGATCTACTAATGTTATCCCTACGTCTTTCTTCTTAAGACTTTGAAATTTATTGCAGTTTTAAAACGAAACCTGCCGTATTTGTTTATCGAATTACTATCATAAAGAGCCATCAACAATATTTGAATAAGGCTAAGTAAGAGTAGGTACCTTTAAAATCTTTCAAAGTCGAAATCTCTCTCAACATAATATGTTTCCAGGTTCAAAACATGAAGCAAATAAAATAAATTTCATTTTCCTAACATAAAATATAAGAAAACTGCTTCAATATTATTTTGTCATTCGTTTTAAATTGATATAAACGAACGAAACATATTCCAGTACAAAATTTTTCTTAAAAAGAAATTTTGCAATTCCGCTAAGAAGCGTTCCAACGGAAATTGAGACATTTCTATTTGGTTTTCGTTCAACATTTCCTAGCCATCTCCTTGGCGATCCGGTTGCGGCCGACGATGAGAAAACATTTGCTTCGCTACCTATCGACTGATGCTCGACAAAATAAGAGTAAAATATACTAAAAGAGATCACAAATGTGCAGCAAGAACCATACGGTTCACATTAATCAATATTAATAACATTAAATTCCATTTGTAGGTACACAAATAAATATTGAAATAATTTCGTCAAACCCGACATTAAATAATAGATAAGTGTAATGAATTATTCATTTGGGAAATCATTTTATACTGGCTGACACGTGGGCTTTAGGTGTGTCAAATATTGAATGTAAATGAGCCATCATTATATCAGGGCTTTAGTTGTCCTGTCGTAAAAACGAATTTAACAACGCCATAGCGAAAAACTATCGCTATGACGCCGCCAATACGCTAAATTAAGGTGCGTCACTATATTGTCTTCTTAAGAGATAAGTTAGTACTGCAATCTTTGTATACCCGATATTATTGTTTACAATATTTTCTAGAACTTTCTATAGCTCTTTTTATGAAATACTAGACACTTCTATCTCCTTAACCCTTCTCTACTAAAAAAAACAGCAAACAAAAACACTGCTGCGGAAAAAAACTACGTATATTACGCAAGTACCTTGGCGATATGTTAACGAACACACAACACAGCACTGCAACAGGCACTAACACACCGATGACAATGTGCTGGTGTCGAATTCTTTTATAGATTGCAGTATGAAGCTTCGGGGGAGGGCGCCGTCAGCCGCGCATTTCATAGGGTTCAAGGAAAACGCACGCACAAGTGCGCGGCCGACGCAGACATGCGTCCCTTTTGTTTCTCATAATTCTCATTTACTAGTCAATATTAATTAATTATTACCTATCGGTACAAGGTCTCGTTTCTTCTTATTTTTTATTGATTTATGACTTTTTTAATATGTAATTATTTTTTCTACGTGGTAGGTATACACGAGAAATGATTTGCCATTTGACATTTGATTGCTAAATTTTGTAATCGGAATTAGTGACAGATAAAAGCCTATATTTTTTGTTCTTTAACTTTAGTGACTTGCATACTTATCTATTTTTATGCAAGAATTAAATTTGGATTAAGGTAGATAAATAGATTTTGAAATCTTCTAGAGTAAAACTATAACTATCATTTATTATGATTTAGTACCTATAGCTACTGTTATTAGATACTTTAATGTAGGTCAACCTATATTAACTACCTAATTACCAATTATAAATTAGGTAACCTTTAAAAAAACCGCATAGAAATTGAAAGTAAATATAACTTGACCACCACAAACTAAAAACTACTGGTTTGTGGTATGCATCTTTGAAGATACCTCTTCACAAGTCAGTGACTTGTTCACACATTTTTATATGAAAATCTTTATTAATTTTATTTTATTTTCAGCCTTGATCGTCCCACTGCAGGGCAAAGGCCTCCCTACCGTCCTTCCACTCCTCTCTAAAGCTTTTTGCAGCCAATCCTTGTCATAGATGTCTAATTCGTCCTGCCATCTCCTTTTGGGCCTGCCGCGACGTAAATCTATGATAAAAATAAAATATATAATGAAAAATCTATTATAATGAAAATATCTCAAGTCTTTAATAACAAATGGATGTCAAGAAAACTGCTGTATCATGTTGTATTATGAATATTACGTGAAGGTCACTGTCATCGCATACGAAACCGTATATAAAGTCAAGGACGCCGTTCTTTTCCCAAGATGGCGTCTCTGATCGTGTGTCAAGCTAAACCGCTTAACATTTTATTAAGTGAATGCTTATTTGTTAATGTGTTTAAAGTAGTTAAATGACATTTTAATTATATTGGTAATTTTTGGAAAAATATTTAACGAAAACCGAAAACGGTATTTGGTTCATGAACTTGACTGACTCGACTTATCAATTCGTTGTTTTTCAGTTATTTACTACAACATAACAGTATTACATGCTTCTATAGTCCTTCTTTAGAAATCACGCAAATAATTGCAAACTGGCTCGTTGGCCGAGTGTTCGTAAGTACGACTGCCGTGCCACGTCTCGGTTTCGATTCCTGGGTCGGGCAAAGTATTACAGGGTTTTAAAAAAAATCTCAGCAATACCACGGAGTCTGAAATTGTGCCCGGTGTATGGCAATAGGCTCACCCCCTATTACATAGGATTCATAACATACATAGTGAAAAGTGGGTGTTACATTGTACAGTGGCATTAAGTGCCAGGCCTTCACCTTTGGGGATAACATGCGTGATGTTATGTTATTAATGTATACATATCCTAACAATAATACTTTTCTTGGACAATACTCTTTCTTCCAGCTAACTTTAGATACGGTCTTAAGTATCACATGAGTAATAGATTATGCAGATACCTAGGTACAATAAATTAGAAACGAGTAATGGAACTAGGATTACACATAAACCACCAACTAACACTAATGTATGTAATGTAACTTGTTTTTTATTTACGCGCAGCTGAACTCACGTAAACATGAATAGCCGAAATAGTAAAATTTTACATTAAAGTGAAATCAATCAACTTGTACTTTGAATAACTTGAAATCTTGACAGCACTACCGTGTTTATAAGATCATAGGTAAAAGATCGACCATTATAAAACCTCTCTCTCTGATATCATCTCAATTGTGGGAATTGTGGGGACTTCAGCACGAATGGGCCGGCTCGACCGGAGTGATAACACTGCCTTAACGAAAAACGACGTGAAAAAACGCTTGCTTGTTTCGTCGTGTGAATGAGGTTACCTTCTCCAATCTACCCAATCTCTGAATCCCCAACAATCCTCAAATTAATAATGCCCAAATGGGCGGTAATGCACTTGTAATGCCTCGGGCGACACCGATTGTTTACCATCAGGTGATTCATCTGAAATCTGGCTTATAGCATAAACAAATAAGGTTGATATTACAATTGTCATCATCATCATCCTGCTACTGTCCACTTCTGGACATATACGTACTTCTTAAAAACCATGTCATTGATGTCGGTCCTCAGCTCTTCGAATCCAACCCCTGCACATGTTTTTACGATATTGTCACTCCACCCAGTTGTAGGACATGCTATACTACATTTTACTAAGATGTTTAATCCTATATATCTGTGTCTCAAAGCTTTAAGACCTAAATTGACCTCGTCAAGGTTGTCTTGATACATGATACGACAATAGACTAAAAATATTCTAAGTAGGTACTCACTTACATACATAAATTATTATAACTTAAAATAGATTCACGTAAACGATAAATTATATAAACGTTAAAAATAACGTATTACAAATTGAAAAAAAACAAAGTTAATCGTCATTTTATTATTATGTTTACTGGGTAAAATGAAAGAATTTTATTTACGAGTCTTGGAATCCATGTCCGGTATTTTGGACCCGTTCTCAATCCCAAAGGGCCTAATTTGGCATGCCGAAACATTCTTCAAAACCTGTTCAGAGTTTTGATAACTCAAACTCAAACTCAAACTCTTTATTTGCATGTTAAGGTAATACATACAGGTCTTATGAAATAACAAGCACAGCTTAACGGCCTTTTTCAGGCGTTGCAAATTTTAGGGGTGTCACCAGCCTACTATAAATTACATTTTGGTTAACATTTTTTTACATATTTATTTGTTCGGAATATAGGTAAGTACTTAAGGTATATAATATATTATACGAACTTATTATTATGATACGAGGTGTGATTTAACATTGTGTTAACAAAATAGTAGGTAAACTATCCGATAGATACTTATAATTGCCACTATTCATACGAATCACATCATCACTGTGATTGGCCGGCGCCTATGAAGCAACCAATCAGAGCGCCGAACGCGTACTCGTTTCGATTACTTTTAACGTAAAACAAAATTCGTACTAAGGCCTCTGAATATTTACTCAAGAACGAACAACGAAGCCACAGTTTGTTGTACAAAACAAAACATTATAAATTGTTTACGTACCTTTCCTGCTTACATACCTGAAACTACTTATTATATTGTTACAGATAATGCATTTATAATATAATTAGTATGAAACTCGGTAAGTGAGATTTATAAGCTATCACGGATAATTATTAAGTGTAGGTAATTTAATATAGAATTATTATATTAAGTACGCATTTCAACTTCGTAACAGATAAGTCATGGATGAACAAGCTCTACAACTGTGTGTTAGACGTGCAACTAGTGCACAAGGACTTGGATTCGTTGATAAAGCTAGGAAAGGTATTTTAATGTTATTTTCCTTTACGTGTGAATTTTCTGTTAAACTGTTATCATATAGATAAAGATGTGTTAACACAGATCACAATCTTCTACAGCATAACATAACATCACGCCTTTTATCTCCGAAGGTGTAGGCAGAGGTGCACATTAAGCCACTGTACAATGTAACACCCACTTTTCACTATTTATGTTATGAGTTCCATGTAATATGGGGTGAGTCTATTGCCATATAAGGGGCACAATCATTTCCAGACTCCGTGCTACTACTGAGAATTTTTTTAAAACCCATGCAATAATACTTTGCCCGACCCGGGAATCGAACCCGAGACCCCGTTGCCCGGCAGTCGCACTTGAGACCACTCGGCCAACAAGGCAGTCTCTCACACAATCTTGGACAGCTGATTATTAGAAGGTGGTCCTCTTTTAATCGATTAAATACCTATCTCAATCATTCTAATAGGTGCGTAGCTCATCCCATAGCGACACTTATGCAATCAGTTTAAAGCCCATTTCGGTCAAGCCACAAGGACAACCTACCTCAATATATTATAATTTTATTGTAATTCACGAACTTTGATTCATATTGAAGTAGGTTACCTCTTTTCAAGGTTTGGGAAAATGATATGAATGAAGTTTCTTTCATTGTTGTAGTACTTATTTTATTGGCTAAAAATACAAATCGAAAGCAAATATTTCTGTGAAAGGATCAACTGAAGGCTATGCTGAATGTAAAAAGCAGTATTTCGGGAGTACAAATTACCAAATATATTTTAATTATTTACCCTACATTGCGTAGTGGGAGTGCGACGCATCACATAATAGGGTAGATGCGTAATTTATATTTTAATGTCGATCTGGTAGATTTTTTTAAATCATTAGACTTGTATTTTTTATTTTCTTAAAGTAACGAATACTTTCTTCGATATATTGATTTGAAATGTCGCGTGACGTCACTTCTATGTACATTTTATATCACCCCACTCCTAAACTTAGATTCGTTTTATCTAATCTATCTGTGTTATATTTTTTAATTACCCAACTGACGGACTTATTCGATTTTTAATTTTCATAGCCTGTCATCATCCCAATTGTAGAAGGTGGAATTTATTTGACATTGCATTTTTGCATGTAGGTACGTACAATTTTATCTACCGACTAACAAATTAAGCAGCTTATTCAAATACTTCATACTGCCTAACCTAAACCAAACATTATTTCCCAAAATCGTTTAAACAGCTTTGTCTAGACTTTATACACTAAACTAGATAGCTTCGGTTCAATTAAGAAATAAAGATAAATATAGCCCGTGGTTTATAACGATTCTAAGTAAATTATGACATCTCCGAACAGCACACGATTTCATTCACATAATAGGTATTTAGCATAGAGGACAAGTACGACCTTCTTCGTGTTTGTCCAACGATCGAGGTGGCAAGACGAACCATGTCGCAA